GATCATGGGCTTTTAATAAATATCTTCAAGTAGATTACTCCCATGGTGTGTTGGATCTTCAAAAAGATAAGAGATGAATAAGAAATTTTTGTAAGAAAGAATGAGAGTTTTAAGAGGAAACTATGTTTAGAGGAAATGGATTTTTCTTTTTATGAGAAAGGGAATTCGGGTTCTCACATTCACCCTCATTAGAAAAAAGTTTTATCTTGAAAATGATCTTACTAGAGAACAAATAAGAGTATGATTTTTTCAAATCTTCCTTATCTATAACTTTCTCCATATTAAAGAAAATACCCACGATTGTAAACACTATTAATTAGATTTTCACTTCTCATAAAAAAAATTCTAAAACTTCAACAACGTTCAATCAAAATTAATCATACCAATATTATATATTTATACAGTAGTACAATGTTTAATTTAAAAGGAAATTAGATTCTTTTACCTTACAAACTTTGCCTATCACTTATTATTTTTTAAACAACTTCATACACAAATATCACTCTATCTACAGAACAAAAAAATCCAAACAACTATCAAGACACAACTTTAGGATCTACGATAAAGAAAATTTTGTAAAAAACAATGAGAGACAGCATACAATCCCAAAAAGGATATGTATGCAAAAAATAAAAAAGTCAAAATAAAATAGTAGAAATTTGAACTCGTCCTAAAAGAAATTGATTAAGGTCTTTGATAGAATTCTAATGTTAGATCTTCCAAAATATGAGATGAATAAAAAAAATGAAAAGATGATAAGAGTTTTGAAAAAAACTAGGTTAAGAGAAAAAGGGTAAAAGGAAATTGAGATTTTCACATTCTTCTTGTTTACAGTTTTATTTCTGACTTACATAAAACTTGTACATTTTATAGAAAAAAGAAATTCAAAATTAATTTTTCTTCTAGTTTAGCTTCATATTAAATGGCTTTGGGTTCTCTTCTTGTTAGGTTGTATACGAAACATAGAGGGGAAAGAAATGGATGTTCTTTACATTTTGTGAGAGTCCAAATTTTAAAAGCTATTTTTATTAATCAAATGATCAAAATAATAAAATTACAAACAAATAAGAAAAGAATAAATACCTCGTAAAATTGAGAGAAATATCTTTACTTATCGACGTGAACATTTCATGGAAGAAATGAAAGTGGTGTTCATCTAATACAAGATTAAGCAAATAAATAAATAAAAAAGAAAAAAAAGTCAGAAAATTGAAAATTTTACTTTTACATAAGTCAGTAACAAATATAAATAAGGAAAATTAAAAAAATATTGAACAAATTATGTTTGTTATTTTATCTTTATCTTCTAGATTTAAGACAAATATAAAGTGTTTAAATTTTGAAGACTAATTTAAAGAATCTCAAGCTTCCAGCGAAAAAAAAAACATCTTGAAGAACTAATGCATAAAAGAAACTATTGAGGATGAAAAGCCACCACATTCAAGGACTAACATTTTTAAGAAAAAAATTATGTGCTCATGAAATTAGAGCTGTAAAAACGGGTTACCCGGTCCGACCCGGTCCGGTCCACCACGGGTTGGTCACTTAGTGAGCCAACCCAACCCAGCTCATTTATTAGCGAGCCAGAAAAATTCAAACTTGACTCGACCCANTTTACATAAGTCAGTAACAAATATAAATAAGGAAAATTAAAAAAATATTGAACAAATTATGTTTGTTATTTTATCTTTATCTTCTAGATTTAAGACAAATATAAAGTGTTTAAATTTTGAAGACTAATTTAAAGAATCTCAAGCTTCCAGCGAAAAAAAAAACATCTTGAAGAACTAATGCATAAAAGAAACTATTGAGGATGAAAAGCCACCACATTCAAGGACTAACATTTTTAAGAAAAAAATTATGTGCTCATGAAATTAGAGCTGTAAAAACGGGTTACCCGGTCCGACCCGGTCCGGTCCACCACGGGTTGGTCACTTAGTGAGCCAACCCAACCCAGCTCATTTATTAGCGAGCCAGAAAAATTCAAACTTGACTCGACCCACCACGGGTTGGTGGATAAACGGTTTGACTCACTGAATCACTTAATTACAATTTTTTTTTTAAATAAAAAAATTTACAAACTTTCTATATCTAAACAAATTTCACTCTCAATGGGTGTTTAATTAATTATGAAAATAAGAAATTTAAATAATTTTATCAAGCAAAAAAATATATTTTTATAAAATTAAAATTAAATTTTAATAAAATAAAATTAGGTAGGTGGGTTGGTGGGCCAACCTGGCCCACCACGGGTTCAACCCGCATGAGCCAGATTGAAATGAGCCGGGTTGAAATCTGACCCGCATAAAAAAAATACAATTTTTTCAAACCCAATCCGACTCGAACCCGTGATAGTCTCTTGATGACATACACACTATCGTTTCACATGACAATCTTGTTATTCAATATGTTTCTAATTAAACTAATAAAAATCACTTGTCATTTTAGATTAATAATACCATTTTATATTAATTACAAAATCTCACAAAAAGACAATTAAACAAATATAAAAGTCATTTCACTCACTTAAAAAAAAGTTAATCACTCACTTAAAAAAAATTAATCAATAAAGACTCGTTTGGAAAATTTTAAAAATATTTAATACTTAATAAAACAATTTTCTTTTATAAAAATTTAACTAAAAATATCAAAATTTATGATATATTTAAAACTAAGATAAAAGTAAATTAATTCTTTTGAAGTGGGTCAAACCATTTGTAATCCTGCATTCCATATCAAAATTAAGTTAATTTAATTATGTTAATATATAATTTAATTTAAATTCTCTATATATGAAAAAAGAGAAGAAGATCATACTTGTGTTGAGAAGGATATTAATTGCATGTTTATAAATGACTATCAAACTCAAAGTCTGGTTATTACAAATAAAAAAAAAAACAATGATTATTAAAGTTTAGGTTCTCCCAAAAAAAAAAAAAAAGAAGATAATTTAAGATCACCTTAGTGAATACAAAATTGATAAAAAATAATTTACTAGTAGTTTATAGAGTTTTTTTTTTCATGTCTTTTCATGGTAAAACATACACTTTTATGCAACTTTTGTGAGTTTCAAATTTTAAAGTATATAGGAGAGGAAAATTGTCGTGGATATGATATTGTTGATAATAGCCATTTTCTCCAACAAAATGAAACTTATGTTGAGCACTAATTATGTATTTAATTTAAATTTAAATGTGTGTGATCAACTTACTTAGTTTGAAAAATAGATGATTATTCTAATAAGTTAGAATGCAAATAAAATGCAACCTTTTGTTAAGTAGGCATATGCAAACAAAAAGGAGAATTTGAAGAAATATATATAAATTTAAGATACCAAAGTTTGTTATGTAGGTACCTACAAACAAAAAAGAGGATATAAAGAAAAAACATATAAATTTGAGATAGTATAAAGAATTTCAAATTCTTATATTTTTTAGTAGAATTTGAAATTGATTAATATTAGGTCAAAAAATTACTTCTACCAATTCTTAAAATTTAATTTTATTTCAAAAATGATACAATTAGAAAATATTTTAAAAATATGAAATACAAAATCAATCAAAAAAAATATTACATAATACAAAAAAAATTATTTTCAATTTTAAAAAATAAAAAAGTATAAAACAAAAATAAAAAACAACTCATCTTAAAATAATAAAAATATTTTAATATTAGAATATAATGTTAGTTTGACTTAAAAAAAGTAGAGAAAAACGTGTGTTAATCTTTAAGTAGCAATTTACAATTATTATGATCTACAAAGCATGCTTAAAAAGAATGTTCCACGGTTACACGTAAAAGAAATGAAAGCCCCTTCCTCTTTTTCTTAATTTTATGTATGCTAACATTAAAAATATTTAATATCTAACTTAAACCGTGTGACTTTTAATTTTAAAGTAAATTTAATTAATTAACATTGTAAAAATATAATATCGATGTTTTTCTTTTTCGTATATTTAATTCTTCCTATAAAAACAACTTCTTAAAAAAGTAACTAAAATGAAACGAGGAAGCCTATGTTAAAGTCGCTTAAAATCATGTTAGACAGCATAAAAACAAATGAAAAATAATTTAATAGTTATATATTATATATAAATATAATAACTTGGACATTGTCAATAAATCATAAAACAATACATGACTTTTTGGCTTTATTTCCTTGAATGGATTTGGAGGAGAGTAATTGAATAAATTTGTGAAAATTTGAAGGTAAATTTTTTGTTGTTTATTTGAGTGGATTTGGTAGTATGTAAGAGTGTATTTGAAAGTAAAGTTTGTGAGATTAGTGTAAGATTTGATTAATGTGACATATTAAAAAAATTTATTTCCAAATTCACTCTCACTTACTTCCAAATTCCAAATTTACTCAAATAAATAATAATAAATTTTACCTTCAAATCTTCTCAAATTCATTCACAAATTCATTTAAGTGAATAAAGCCTTGATAAATTATTAGTATATTTATTTAGTTACAAAAATATTAATCACAGTCTCATAAGATTTATATTTAAATCATTACATCTCACTATTTCATTTAATGATTTTTTTTTCTTGATTTAGAAGTGAAATAATAAAAGTTACAATTCATACTAAAGAAAGACTGTTAGAAAAAAAGAGCGTAAGAGAGAAAAACTAATTACATTTATCAAATAAACAAATTTATCGCATGATTAATTTTATGCACGTGTCATTATCAAAATTTAGCAATTTAATTAATTTGTGCATGAATGAAAAATGGAAAAATAAAAATTGTGATTCTATTTTATTACAACAAAGAAATTTATTACATTTATATTAAATTGATCGAAAGAAAATGAAAAATTAGAAGTGAAAAGTGAAAGTAGATAAAAGCAAAAATCACAGAGAAGCACATTCTCTGAGTCGATCACGATTTGCGCGCTTCCTCTTTCAAACAAGGAGATCCAACGGTTGAGATTTCGGTCTCCCTTTGACCCCCACAACATGCTCCATTCAAAACCACTATATAACCACTCCATCTTCTTCTTTTTTCTTCCTTGCATCACCCCCACATTTCCTTCTTCTTCTTCTCCTTATTCTTCATCTTCATCAACTTCTACGCCCTTTTTCTGTGTTTGTCCTTCTCCTAGTTTTCTGATCTCTCTCTCCCACCATGGCTGCCGAGAAAGAGAGAGACACACAGGTTTACTTGGCCAAACTTGCTGAGCAGGCCGAGAGATACGAAGGTATGTGCGCCCTTTCCTTTTAATCTGAGATTTTGTTTTTCCTTATTATTTTGACTTTGATTTGGATTCGCTGTTCTTTTTTGTGGTTTCATGATGGGGTTTGTGATTTGATGCTGCCATTGGGGTGGATCTGTTTTTTGGGAGCGGTTTCGTTGTTCTGTTGGGTGGTAATGTGGATGGAGAGTCGAAATATTTGATTTTGAGATGTGGGTTTTCGGTTATTTTATGGACTAGCTTTTGGGTTAGATCGTTTTCCCTGTGAAACCCCACCTTCTTTTGTGGATTTGAGGCTGGCATTGGTTCTTGGTTTTTGTTTTCAGAAATTGTCTTTGGTTTTCAACATGCAACTGAATAAGGTTACTCAGATAGTTGGTGGAGGGTGGTCTAAGGCATACAAAAGTGTGTAGAATTGAATGAGAGGTTGAATGAGAGGTTGAATGAGATGAATGCATAAGAAAAACTAGAGCTAACTTTTCCCAAATTTGTTTTTGTTTTTTAAAGCACCTATTTTGAAAATAATTTGCATAAAGTAATAACATTTTGGATGAATCACTGATTGGTGTGTGAAATTATTTTGGAAAATAGATTTTAAAATCAAAAGGTGGGAAGGGAATCAAATGGGCCCTAATTTTCAAAACTGTAATGGGTTACCAAATGTTGTGATGGGGCCAATAAGGTAAGACCTTTCAACTCAGAATAGAATGCTGTCCTTTTCTATTTGTACTTGAATCTGTCCACCTATACTGGATAAACTCTATTTGCATGGCTACCCTTTTGATGAAAAGAGGCGAATACGGATCAATTTGTTTCTTTTACCTTTAGAGTGTCATCTTCTTGCCTGATTAGGTGAAGATTAATCTGTTTCTAATTTTATTTAATTAATTGTCTTATTTTGGACCCGGATAGACAAAGTCTGATTTATGCTCAGAACCTACAATATGTGAGCGTAATTGTTGTTGCATAGAGCATAGTGCATGCCAGTGATCTGTGTACTTTGAATTTTCTAAATACACAGAGGTAGTATTTTGATCACTGTTGTAGTTTCTGTGATAATATCCTTCTGAAACTTAATACTTATTATGCAGAAATGGTTGAGTGTATGAAGAAAGTTGCAAAACTTGATCTTGATCTAACTGTGGAAGAAAGGAACCTCCTCTCAGTGGGATACAAAAATGTCATTGGTGCACGGAGGGCCTCCTGGCGCATCATGTCCTCAATTGAGCAGAAGGAAGAGGCTAAGGGTAATGAGCACAATGTCAAACTGATCAAGGGCTACCGCCAAAAAGTTGAGGAGGAGCTCTCCAAAATTTGTGGTGACATTCTGACTATTATAGACAAGCACCTGGTTCCTTCTTCTGGATCAGCAGAAGCTAGTGTTTTCTACTATAAGATGTGAGTTATGCTGCTACACTTCCTTTGTTACGCACTTGATTAATTTAATTCCTTTCCCAGTTAAAAAAATTATCTTTATCTCCGTATTCTTTTTTGTATTTTCTTCCCTTGAGTATTTATAATTGTCTTTTCTTATTAAAGTCTAAAAGAGGATACCAAGACTAGTCTGGGAGGTGTGGAATCTGTATGAATATTTTGATGACCTATTTTTTGTTCTTGATGCAATGCAATGATTGGTAGAGAACCCTTACCTTCAGTCAATGTTGGATATGTAGGGACTCTAATGCTATGAATGAGTCATTGTATTTATTTGTTTACCTAATGTTTTTCTTTGATATTCCTGATTTCCTTATTCTGTCTTTGGTTCAGGAAAGGTGATTATTTCCGGTACCTTGCTGAGTTCAAGACTGACCAAGAAAGAAAAGATGCAGCTGAGCAGTCACTTAAAGGATATGAGGTCATTTTTTATGTCATGTATTTCAGCACTGAACTACTTCATAAATTAATTATTGTTTATATTATACATTATACTTTCATTTGATTTTCAAAAATGTTTTAATTATTAGGCTGCTTCAGCCACTGCAAACACTGATCTTCCATCAACACATCCAATTCGTCTTGGACTTGCCCTCAATTTCTCAGTCTTTTACTATGAGATAATGAACTCTCCTGAAAGGTATGTTATTGGTTCTCTTATCTGCATGGATCCATTGAATTGCATTTGTTGCTAGCTCTTGTCTGAATGTCATTACTACAACTTACAGGGCCTGCCATTTGGCCAAACAAGCTTTTGATGAGGCAATTGCGGAATTGGACACCCTGAGTGAAGAGTCATACAAGGACAGCACCTTGATCATGCAGCTGTTGAGAGACAACCTGACACTCTGGACCTCTGATTTGCCAGAGGATGGAGGTATGGAAATGATTAAAACTTGATATAAGATGCATTTGACTTTTGCCTAGGGAAAGCAATAAATATTGTACCGTATGTTGCTCAATAATGATGTCTGAGACAAAAGTGGTTGATGTACACTTGTACAATATCATTGCAACAGTATCTTCCACTCACTCTGTTCCCCTCTCAAATTTTGTGAAAAAAAAAAGTAAATTAGGATGAATAGAAAGAAAAATAAAACTGCATGCCCTTGGAGAGATCATCATGAAGGTCATAAGTCATTGTTTCAAGAGTGGTGTCTTCAACTGAGTCACTCCTAGTTAACAGCATGATCATGTTTCCTTTTATTTGTTTGATACTAACATACTTGGAACTACTAAAAAGCTAATGCTATTATGCAGGTGAGGACAACATAAAAGCTGAAGAAGTCAAACCTACCGAGCCTGAGGTGTGTGCATAATAAGTTGTTACTTTACATGATTTTATTGTCGAATGTGTAGTTAATTCTTGACAATTCATAATGTAGAAAACGAGCAATTCCTTATATATGAGAGCAACTAAGGGTCTGTTTAGTTTGAGACATTTTTCTCAGGCTTTTTCAAATAATTATAAAATAAAATCTCAGGTGGCTGTTTCAAAGATTTGTGCTAGAATAATTTTTCTGAAATCAAACATGTCTGTATATACTTTAGTCACTGTTTAGGTTCCTTGACATTCTTCTACTTGTGCAGCATTGACCATGATTCGATAGTCAGATGTCTAAGGTGTCAACAAGGGCGTTTTTCAGCTTTTCTTGCAATGGATTTGGACCAGACAACAGGGCCATTTTCTCCATTACCAAAGCCAGAAGATCTGTGCCTTTCATTTATTTACTTCAAACCTTTTCTTTTTGATGTCTTATCTGTTTTAAGTAAAGTGATCAGTTGAAGCAAATGAACAATTTAAATTTACCCTTATAAGCATCTCAATCCTTCCTTCATTTTGTTTGCATTTACTTTTCTTAAGATGATTATGTTTCCTATAGGCTCCTAGTCAGTAATCATCTATACAAAAAACAAAACGCAATGGTTTAGGATGAATAGTCTGTCATAAAAACTAATTGTGGATTAAAAAGGCAATCTATTACTAACATTAATATAAAAGATGCTAGCAGCACTTGCTCTTGAATATAGAAAACAATTCATTTTCAGTTCAATAATTTTCTTTCTTGATCTTAGTGGGTTCAGTAAATTTATATCAATATAAGAGACTTTTTAAAATGAAGATCATTCATGGTTGGTTTGTGTCAAATTTGAAGAAAAGGTTTATGTAAATTGCTTATATAAACTCAGATTAAATCATAATACAACATGTAAAATAATCAATAATAGATTTTCTTTATTTATTTAATTGGTTTGATAAAATTAATTGGATTGTTTAATCAGAAACCAATTATTGGTTTTATATGTATTATAAGACATTTCTATTTGAAAAATATTGGTATATTCATTTCAAAAGTTTAAATTAGATATTTGTTATAACAAAATCACACTTCTTAATAATATAAATTTTGTATATTCTTTGAATTCACTTTTTATTATTTTCAAATAATATAAATTGTGTATATTCTTTGAATTCATTTTTTATTATTTTAAAAAAATTTAGAGATTACAAATTTAGTAAGATTAAAATAAAAATTACTAATTATTTTAAAATATATCACTATATTTATATTGTCATTATTGAGTCTAGAAATATATATTAGACGTACATGAGTTTAGCAACACACTAAAATATAAAAAATAATATTATATTCATTAGCGAATTTAGCAATACACTAGACAAATATAGAAAAACAAAATTATATTGATTAGACAAATTTAGCAACACACTAGACAAATATAGAAAAAAAATATTATAAGTCTAAAACTATTCATATTAAACGAGTTTATACATACATTAATTAGATAAGTATAACAAAAATCATTACACGAGTCTAGTAATACATAATAAAAGAGTATGTTCATACATTAATTAGACGAGTATAACAAAATATATTAGATGAGGTATTCCATATATTTATCAGACAAGTCTAAACATACAACGATTAGATGAGTATAACAAAAAAATTATTAAACGAATTTATCGATGCACTAGTTAGATAAGTTTAAAAATATACATCATATAAGTTTGTTCATACAATCACTACACAAGTATAACAAAAAACATTACATATCGATTATATGAGTCTAGGAATATTCATTAGATGAGTTTTTCCATACATTTTTAAACAAGTCTAACAACAAGCACCAGACGAGTTTGTCCATACACTCATAAGACAAGTCTAGCAATATGCATTGCACAAATGTGTCTCTCCATGTATAAATTATACGAGCCTATTACTACACATTAAACGAGTTTGTCCATTCACTACTTAAACAAGTCTTACAATACATATTAAATGAGTATGCACATACATCGATTGGGCAACTATGTCCATACATTAATTAAATGACTCTAACAACAAACACTAGACGAGTATGTTTATACATTAATTAGATAAATCTAGTAGTATACATTAGAGTTTGTCTATACACATATTATACGATTTTATTAATACACATTATACGAGTTTGTCCAATTACTAATTAGACGGTCTTGCAATACACATTACACAAGTCTAAATATACATTGATTAGATAAGTCTAACAATACACATTATACGAATGGGTTCGTATACCGATTAAAATAGTCTAGCAATACATATTAGGCTAGTTTGTCGATGTATTGATTAAAAGAATTTAGTAATACACATAAGAGAATATTTCCATACACTGATTAGAAGAATATAACAAATAGTTTGCACCAGACTATCCACACAATAATTAGACAAATATAACAAAAGATATTAGACAAGTCATTTCATAAGTTGATTAAACGAGTATATAAAACTATTAGACAAGTCTAGGAATACATTGATTAAATGAGCAAAGCAAAAAAATATTACACGAGTTTGCTGATATATTGATTAAATGAGTCCAACAATACACATTAGAGGAGTCATTCATATATTGATTAGACGACTCTAGCAATATACTAGAGCTGTCAAAATGGGTAACCCGACTCAACCCGGCCCGGCTCACCACGGGTTGGTCACTTAATGAGCCAACCCAACCCGACTCACTTATTAGCAAGTTGAAAAAATTCGAACCCAGCCCGACCCACCATATGTTGGTAGGTTAAACGGGTTGACTCACTGGCTCATTTATAAGTTCTTTTTAAAATAAAAAATTACAATTTTTTAATTCAAATATAAATAAACGTCACACTAAAATGATGTTAAACTCCAAAGACAATTCAATAAAAAAAGTATCATACAATCCAAACGTAATCCAAAAACATGTACAAAAGGTGAACAAATAAGTTTTTAATATTGATAATTTTTGTATCACTTGTCCATTTATAATATTAGAGTCTTGAATAGATAAATCTACAGTATTTTTTTCTCTTGAAACATCTTTTTTATCACCATCTATAATATAATAAAAAATGCTAACTAATAATATTGAAACACAAAATAATAAATAATTTAATTAAATTAGGTGGGTTGGTGAGACAACCCGGCTTACCACGGGTTCAACCCGGTGAGCCGGGTTCTAAGTGAGTCGAGTTGAAAACTAGCTTGTATAAAAAAATTACATTTTTTTCAAACCCAACTCGGCTCAAACTCGTGGTGAGTCGGGTTGGCTAACGGGTTACAACACATTTTGACAACACTACAATATACATTAAACAAATCATTCCTTTCACAAATTAGATAAGTCTATTAATACACATTATACAAGCTTGTTCATCACTAATTAGATGAATCTTGAAATACATATTTGACGAGTTTGTTCATACATTGATTATATGTGTATAACAAAAAACATTACACGGTCTAACAATACGCATTAGATGACTTTGTCCATATATTGATTGGATGAGTATATAAAAAAATATTAGATGAATCATTTTGTATATTGTTTAGACGAGTATGTCCATACATTGATCAGACTAGTCTTGCAACACACATTAGATGAGTTTGTCCACATACTAATTAAATTAGTCTAACAATATACGTTAGACGAGTTTGTTCATACATATATTAAACAAATATGTTAATAAACATTAGATGACTTTATTTATTTTATAATTAGACGAGTATGACAATATACATTACACAAGTTTGTCCATATATTATTTAAATGAGTCTAACAATACACATTAGACGATTGTAACCATATATTGATTAGACGAAAACACATATTAAACAAATTTGTTAATCATTGATTAGACAAGTCTAACAATACATATTACATCAATATATTCATACATTAATTTATATTTTTAGCAAGTCAACTCTACATATTTCTATAACTCTTATATTTTTAGAGAGCCAACTATATTTTTACACATATGTTATTCTTTGTATTTTATAAAGCCTATTATTTATATTTTTATAGATATATTTACTTTCTAAAACTACAAATTATTTTTAAAATTAATTTTATTCAAAACTTAATTGTAAATTTAAAAATATCTATTATTATTTTTTCTTTAATTTCTAAATTTTTTAAATAAACAACAAATAAACATCAAGCCGTGCATATTCCCGAGTTTAAAACTATTTTAATTTTAAAAAGAGAGATGTTCTTTCCACCTTAATTTGTAGGATTTAAATTTTTATAATCTTAGTTTGTAAGATTTTTTCATAATATAAGTACTTAGTCCAAATTACTAAAAATATCATGACAATGATAATACTTTAGTTGTTATTATTAAAATTTTCTCTACATTCATATAAATATGACCCTTTCAACACCGAGAAGAAATGTTTTAAGAGTATTTCTATAATTATATAACAAGGAAAAAAAAGGTAACTGATAACTATTTTCATTATTTGACCGCAAGTGAACTTCTTATAGAACAAAGATATTTATTCTAGGACCAACAAATGGAACTGTTTTGGTATGGGGTCGAGTCATCTAAGTCCTGCACAATTTCTTTCAATCTTCGTCCGGAGATGTACCTGCCAAAGGTGTTTCGATGCAAAAGTCAGTAATAGTCTGATCGATAATATGAGTGTTGTAATAAATGTGCTATTCATGAACCCCCTTACCTCTTACTTTTAACCTGTATTTATAGCCTTGGCTATGGGCTTGGATTAACGAGATTTTAATCAAGGCCCAATCGCAACCAATCATTCATTAATAAGAGCTTTACCTTAATCGGCTTGAAGTTCGCTTACCCTATGCAGTCATTCGGTCTCATCACTAGCTGTTTGTCGTTCGGTTCTGGTCGCCTAGGGGGATCATTCAGTATTAGAACTTTACCTCAATTAGTTTGAAATTCGCTTATCTTCTGCAGCCGTTCGGTTCGGGCTATCTAGTTTGGACCGTTCGAGGAGCATCCGACAGGGGAACTTACCAAATAATTCACGAGTCTTAAATGTCACTCCTAAAACTATAATTACTGCAAAAGTATTTAGCTCATTGCATGAAATGTTACAAGAATTGCAGTTTTTTAATATAATAGTAATTAGAACTTCCTCCATCTGCCAAAATGGATATGACCAAATTTTTTTGTAAGTTGGTTAACTAACAACCATTGAACTAAGAGACTTAAAATTAGAACAGATTTCTTGAAACTGCTGAAGCAGTGTTTTAGGGTTCTAAAAAGGTGGACTTTGAGTTTCTCACAATAAGACCACCCAATATAACACAGAAGCAGTTCAATGACCTTGTATCTATGTTTCTTATTAAGCCCACATCGAGAAGTGTTGAGTAGAATATAAGAAACTGTGATATTAAAGATGTGTGTTTTAAACATAGCTAATCACGGAGCCGTGTGATGAGCACAGAGCGAATTATTCTTTCGCCTTTTACTAAAGAATACCGTGGGCTCGTCACTACAAGCGGCATACGCCACTTTTTGGAAGGGT